GCATTTACATAGTTTTAAGAACTAATTATTCAACTTTTAATTTATTTTATTAAACCATTTAACGTGGTTTCAATTGTTCATTTTCATTTAAGTATTTCCTTGATGTGTGTTTTTTTTTTGTTTTTTTTTTGTCTGTTTTTGCACAACTTTTATTTTTATACATCTAAGTTATTTTATCTGTTTGGTGTTGATCTTGCACTACAAAAAATTGTGAACATTACTGGTGCAGTTCTTTAGAACCAAAGATAATAAGCCAGATGACACTTTTTGCTGTAAAATACATTGCATACTGGGTTTTGTTCTTTTTCTTTTGTTACGGTTAGTACCACTAGATATATGCACACAGGATAAACAGGGCTGTCAGAGTTGCAAAGAGTTTATGTTAGGTGGGTGAATGATCTGATTATCTGACTGTTGATTGCAGTAAACCACATTAGCAGAAATAGAGGGCCCCAAACCAAATTTTGCTTGGGGCCCCATGGAGGCTTAGGCTGGTACTGACTTTCCTCAATAAATAAATAAATGACCATGTATAATTTTGTCTCATTTGTTTAACTACAGTAGGTTCTTTTTATCTACTATTAGAACTTGTGTGAAAATCTGATGTTTTAAGTCACATTTATGCAGAAATATAGAAAACTGTAAAAGGTTCACAAACTTTCAAGCACCACTGTATTGTATATAAATGTTGAGGATATGAGTCTTTATTTCGAGAAGACGTTTTGACATGTGATACCATACCATCTTTATAGAACACTTTAGACACCTACAGGACAAAGTGCTGTACACACAACAAAACAATCATACAGTCAGATAATAAAAATGATTAAAATGATTAAAAGTCACATAATATAAGTTATAGTTAGCAAGAACAGAGGGGTCCAGAGTGGGTTTCTTAATGAGAGGCTGGACAGCTACTACAAAAGGCACTCGTGTCAGTGATTAGGTCAACACTGACTCATTGAGCCAACATGCACGGTCACAAGACGTCATTCAGTTTTCATGTCAACACAAAATGTATTTAATAAGCTACAAAATACATATTTCCCACATTATTCAAATTTTCACTGCCCTATAGGCACTGGTGAAGTGCCATGCAAACAGCTGTACAATGAGTTATTTATGACCAACATGTGAACAGGAAGCTGCTGGAACATCAGTGTTACTATATTTAGTCAAATATGGTTTACCCTGGGATGAACTCTGAGGTTGTTTTTTTTAGTTTGTGAATTTTTGTTTAACTTGTGTAATATGTATTTATGTGTGGCAGGATGCGCAACTGTCTGCTCTGCCTGACTTTCCCTGATCAGGATGACAGTTATTCATCATTCATTGCACCTTATATAAGGACAAAGACAGTTAGTGTTGTTATAATGCTGTGATGTAGGGTTAAGACCCCTCTACATGACTGCAGTGATGTCCTTTTGCTTAATTAATATACTTTGGTAAGTCAGTGTCATAGTCTTTTTTTGGTATCCTATTGCAAAGAGAAGAGGGGACTTGGAAGTACAGTAGTCCCTCGCTACTTTGTGGTTTGACTTTTGTGGACTCGCTCTTTTGCGGTTTTTCAATGTAAGATTGTACGCGACATGATTGTCAACTTTCATATTACTCACATGAATGGGATGGTATAGGATAAAAAGTTAACAAAAAAAATACTTAGGACATGCGCTGCCATTTTGTAGTTTTCTTTCAATAAGCCTATACTGTAACGCAGTTAGAAAGAACTACACGACCCAGAAGCCAACAGTGCTTCCGGCTGCTGCTTTCTGCTGAAATGGAGGAAAAGTTTTGCACCGTGAAGTCAGAAGTAATGATCTATCTATTAAGCTCACAGAACTGGCAGTAAAGTCTCACATAATCCTGAAACTTCCTGAAGCTCAATTATCCACGTGCACATCAACCTGGACGAGGCGGTGGGCGTCATGCTGCAGGGTAGGTCTGCAGAACCAGAACCGAGCTGCTGGTCTGCAGAGCTGGTGAGTAAAATTTTGCCGTACTGTACAGTACATATACATATGTTGTTAAAATGACATAGGTTTAAGAGTTAAGAACATTGCAAGAGTGTGGGATGAGCTTATAAAGCCTTTATATATACAGTATAT